CTCAGCAAGTCGAGGAAGAGAGCCCATGTCCCTCACCCCGTCCAGATAGCAAGGTCTGTGGCGCCGCCGCCGAGGAGCAGCAGTTTGTCCGAAAAGCCCTTGCAATCACCTTTCCATCCGAACGTGTCTACAATGGCAGGATCTACTATTATGCCACCCCCAGCATCATCCCCTGCCATGCCGCCACGAAGCGTCTCTGCCTTTGCGGCGAGCAAGACCGAACCATCAACATCTGGGTCATCTTCAAGCTTCTTTGAAGAATTACCGCTGGCCTCGCGGCCACGACATACTGGCCGCCACACTCCACAGCATACCATGGTCGCTCCCCCCCCACCGTTGCCAGCGCAGAGCCCGCCCGTGGCTCCTCCACCCCCACAACAGCAGCTTTCACCCCCTGGTCCCTCCGATCCCTATTCTCAGTATCAATTGCGACCTCCTGAACGCTTGGATCCTTATGCAAATGTCCCACTACAGCCTCCTCCTGTACCCCCGGCTACAACGACCAGATATTCACCGGCACCTGTCCCATCAAACCTAGGCCCTCGACCCGGGCCTTCTCCTCGATATTCTCCAGCACCTCCAACACACACTGCAGCTGCAAATGCTGCGAGATATGCAGCGCAACCGACCCCGCCTGCTCCATCTCATAGCGCGACAGCAGTGCCAACCCAAACCACATCACAACACCCACATCCTGGGCCCACCATCCTGCCCTTTCAACCCCGGACGTCAAGTCCACTTGCATATCACAAAAGTTCGGTTGACGAAAATGTCAACGGCATGCCAGCCTCAATCATGCAGTCTCCAGGGCACTCTGCGCCTGTAAATCAGCTTTCACCGCCTGGTACCTCAGCTCCGTATTCAACGACCTCTCCTGACCGAGGCGGTTTGGTAGACTCTCATCTGATATCAGCTACCAAACGTCCCAATGTTGAACAATTACCCCCTCCGCGCCGATCGCAAACGCAATCTCCATCCAAACAACGATCCCAAGGAGCATTCCCTTCTTACCAAACCGACTTCATTAACCGCCCAGCTTCTGCGTATGGACAGCCGCCACCAAGCAGAACCGTTGCCCCACTTGAGGCTGTTCCACCTGCAAGGCCTAGTGTCCAAGCTCGAGGGTTGGTCCCGGAATTGGAATTCGTACGGCCTCAAGATGACACGCAATTCGACCCTTTAGAGCGGTGGAAGGGTGCTCCCTTGTTCAGGTTTGGGTTTGGCGGCACTGTCATCAGCACGTTTCCAAAACTTGTCCCCAGATATGCAACGGGTGCGCTACGACCTCAGATCAAGCCGACGGCTGGAGCAGTAGCCGTTCAGAACGCAAAAGACATCTTTCCGCTGGCGGAATTTTGGAGTCAGTTTCCTGGGCCGCTGCGTTCCAAGTCGAAAAAGAAAGATGTATTGTCTTGGATGACAAATTACATAAATGGTATGGAGATGAACGTGCCAAACTTCCTCCACACTCAATCTCATGATGATCCGGCTAGACGTCATCATGAAAAGGTTTTGCTCTGGAAGATTATCCGTGCTCTGGTGGAACACGATGGATCTCTTGACGGGCCAGCGTTGAAGGCAATAAATCTCCTCCTTTCCCCAGAGGTCCACAACGTGGACCTGTCAAGTCCAATCCAATATCGCGAGGGTGAGCCGTCTTCGGGCATCTACCGACCTCCTGGTGCGAACGTCCGTCCAGACTCAGTGGATCCCATGGCAGTTGAGACTTTACGAAAACGCTTGCTTGGCGGTGACCGCCAGGCGGCTGTGTTTCATGCTATGGATAGTCGCTTGTGGTCTCATGCTCTCATCATTGCCTCGACGATGGACCGTTCAGTATGGAGCCAAGTGGTAAGAGAGTTCGTTCGTCAGGAGGTGAAGACCACCGGAGTGAACACTGAATCGCTCTCTGCTCTATATGAAATCTTCGGGGGTAACCTTGAGGAAAGCATAGACGAGCTGGTTCCGCCATCTGCTCGGGCCGGGCTCCAAATGGTGAGTAAAGTCGACACTGGCGGACCAGCAAAGAATGCGCTCGACGGTCTGAACCGGTGGAAGGAAACTCTAAGCCTCGTGCTGAATAATCGATGCCAAGGCGATTATCAGGCCTTAGCAGTCCTCGGGAGGTTACTGGAGGACTACAATCGCATCGAGGCGGCCCATGTTTGCTATCTCTTCTCTAGAAACCCTCAGAGGCCGGCGCTGTTTGGAGGTCTCGATGAAGAGCATGCGGCTATCGTCTTGCTCGGTGCGAACCACAAAGCTCTGCCGTTCGACTTTGGCCGCGATCAAGATGCTATATTGCTCACTGAAATCTATGAGTTTGCGACGAGCATTCTAGCATCAGGAGCATCGTTGTCATTCATGCCACATCTCTCAGTTTTCAAGCTGCAGCGAGCAACAACCATGGCAGAAGCCGGACTGCGAGCGGAGGCGCAATCTTATTGTGATGCAATTGCGTCCACATTCAAATCGAGCACCAAGATGTCAACATATTATCATTCATTATTCCTATCCGAGCTCGATGATCTGTCGAATCGCCTCAAACAAACGCCGATTCAAGGTTCGTCATCCTGGATAGCAAAGCCCAGCTTAGAAAAGGTTGGAGGCTCCATGTGGAACAAGTTCAGCAGTTTTGTTGCAGGTGAGGATAGTGACGCAGAATCCAAAGGCTCGGGAAAGGACGCGGTCGAAGCTGGTCCGTTCGCGAATATCGCCGGCACGCCATCGATCAGCAGAACCGCATCTCAGTCGGACATGCATGGGTCATACCCACAGTCTGTTCCCACAACAGTTGCCGGATCCAGATACGCACCCAACAGCATGCAATCTGCACGATCTTCTGCGGAAATTACCCGTGGTCGACCTTCTTTGGATTCTCAAAGATCGCCTCCATCGACTTCTCACTCCCAACACAATCATCAATACGAATCGATGAACATGTTTCAGCATACGCAAGGACCGCCTGCAGCGAATCCTTTTCAAGCTTTTGCCACAGCTTCGCCTCCAACTTCTTTCCCGCAGAGCCCTCCGAGGACTTCGTACATGCCGAACAATATTGGTCAGTCAGCGCCTTCAAACTCGTCTCCCATGCGCCCCAACACCTATGCACCTACCCCGCCTGCTGAAGACCTCATCCGACAATCGTATGGATATACTCCCGAGCAGGCCACAGGATCCCATATCCCTGAAGAGACAATATCGTATGGTGGTTATGAGCCACCCAAGCCCGGTGACTTGGAGACGCCTCAACAGGATGAAGGTGCCGACCTGGGCTTTGATGCCCCGACACAGTCTTATGGCTACGTGCCTCCCAATGGCGCCGGTTATGTCCCATATGTTCCAGAGCCAGATTCACCGGAGGAAGAGACCAATGAGGCAAATCCTAAGAAGAAATCATTCATGGATGACGATGATGACGATTTCCCTCGGATATCGCACCAGCCGCAGGATTCTGCATCGAAGGCTTCAGTGGACGACGATGAGACTGCACGTAAACGGGCCAATGACGCTGCCGCGGATGCCGCCTTCCGTGCTGCTGCAGAAGCAGACGCTGCTCGCGAAAAGGAGAAGAAAGAATCCAAGAGATCTTCGTCGTGGTTCGGTGGATGGTTGGGAGGAAAGAAGACTGATAGCTTGGATGCGGGTCCAACCAAAGGCGGCGAACATAAAGTCTACAGAGCCAACCTGGGCGAATCGAAGATGAAACTGTATTTTGATAAGGAACTTGGAAAATGGGTGAATCCCGACAATCCGGATGCCGCAAAGAAGACAGCAACGCCTCCACCTCCACGAATGGGTGGTACCCCTGCACCACCTATGAGCTCTGGAGGGCCTCCGAGGCCACCGATGGGATCTGCACCTCCTACCTCGCACCCAAGCATACCAGGCCTAGGTATAGGCCCGCCGTCAGCACCACCAAGTCGCGCTGCTACTCCCGCTGATGGAGCTGGAGTGTCAGCAAGACCATCGCCACAAATTGGTGTTTCTGGTCCTCCCAGCGCCACAAGTACGCCCCCCATCGGCCATCCTACAACTCCTGGCCTTGCTCCACCTCCACGTCCTGCTACAGCAATGAGCAATGCTAGTAGCATTGATGATCTGATTGGCCCAGCAACTGGACGAAAGTCTACGAAGCCCGGTAAAAAAGGAGCCAAGGCCGGCCGATATGTGGATGTTATGGCGCAATAGATTTCCACCGTTTGAAAAGCGTGAAATGTGAGTGAAGGCTCCGGGCTCGAGTGACCGAGCACCCATGAAAGAGATGATATGGTTGAACCTGATTGTACAATACTTCTTTGGTCTGTTGATGTGTATATGTGGGTTTGAAAATTCAAGCGGATGCAGTTATGACTGCATGCCATCATTGGCAATATAGATACAAGAGTCAGCTATGGCTCCGGTGATATACCACTTATAACTTAATATTGAGAATTGTACTTTTTTCCCGGGCTGCACATGATAGATGATTCCTTTCGCCTCGTATTGAAGAGCGTTTGATAAGGACGTATCCTTCCCCTACAATAGAGGTTAAGGTGGCCTTCAAAACCAGTGGTACCACGTTCCTTGCCCACAATGTTGGCTGCATCTGAGGTTGCGGCCGCTTCGCCGTCGAATGCTCTTTAGCCGTGTTGCGCGCATTGTGTTGTTCCGTGACAGACAGACGTCGGTCGGCTTCCTGTGTGTATCTCAGCCTTGCGACTCCGATACCACGTGACCAAGCGCGACCTAAATCTCCTGATGAACTTCCTGCGAATCTCCCGTCTTGCTCAATCACCATTCCACAGCCATGATACAACGATCGAGGATGATAACACCCGCTCCTTCTTCTTGGTAACGTGTTTCCTATCGAAAGTTTTGCCTTATAGACCGACACGTCAAACTATGAGAGTCCGTCGAACACAACAAACCCGCCAAAACTCCCCAAGTGCTCCGACTTAGTGGGCCTCCTGCGTGGTGACCGCTCGCAAATACTGATACTCTTGAGGCTTGCGGAGGAGATGGCCGCACCACCTCTCAACGACTCGTCTGTCGACGCCGACTCCCGACTCGTCAATATGTCCTGTTTTGACCTTCTCCTGATTGAGCTCGTCCCGCTAGCCGAGCGTATGGCACGAGCCTACGAGGCGTCTCTCGATCGTCCCACACCCTCTCCTACGAGCTCGACAGCTACGAAAAGGACATCAAAGGGCCCCCCACCGATGGGGGCCAATAACGCCATCAGCACAAGCACGACTGCGAAGACGACCACCAACACCACCACCACCACCACACCCTCTTCGAACTCGGCACCAAGCATAACGGTCACGGGCGCGAACACGACCGCCGCATCTTCGCAGCCCTCACACACCGCCCTGCTCGCCGCAGACGGCCTACCCACGACCACGATCTTCGCCGATTCCGTCTACGTCCGTCTCGAACGCCTTGGTTTCCGCGTCGGAGAAGGTCTCAGCGAACGGATCTCGCGCGACAGGCCGCGCTTCAACCCGGCTGGGATCAACGGGAGCAATGTGGGAAACGTGAATGATCATCACCTGGACGTGATCAAGTTCCTCTGCAAGGATATCTGGGGCGTGGTGTGGAGGAAGCAGGTCGACAACCTGAAGACGAATCATCGGGTACGTCTCCCCTCCCACACCCCCTTTTCACCATCGTCGGAGTCGAAAAGGGCTACATATATACTATCCTAGCGGTTCTACGTCTTCCGTTTTTTGAAGACCACGGATATATAAGAGTCCGAGGAGCAGTCTGCTGACAAACTTGCGTATAGGGCGTCTTTGTCCTTACAGACAATAAATTCCGCCCACTCACCCGCATGTCCATGGCCAACCACGCCGAAGCCATGCAGCGAGCTCGACCTCACCTTTTCTTCCCCTGCGGTATCATCCGCGGTGTCTTGAGCAGCTTGGGGATCAAAGCCACCGTACAGGCCGAGACGATGGAATTGCCCAGTGCTATTTTTCAGATCACGACGGTGCTGCCTCAAGTAAAGCCGTGACTTGAGACGATGAGGAATGAATGACTTGGTATGACAAGATGAAGGACTCTCAGCCCATATGATGAAGTCTGTTTCTCAGTTCAGGCATGAACGCCCTCTACGATCTGCCGTAAGACCCTCATATATGGTTGCCAGAGTCGAGAGTCACACTTTAAGATCTAAAAAGCGCAGAGAGGTGGTCGCAACAAGCGTAAGGAGTAGGACAAGTGAATTTTGTCTACGCGGTCTCCAAGCTGCAAAAACAGATGCAGCCTGAAAAGCTATGTCATAGCGATGACAATCATCTTCGCCCTAAGAAGGGAGTCTTTGTTTTCCGTCAAAGACATGCTTTCACAACCTGCTCCGATGACTCCATGTCAGTCTCCGTGGCCGGCCTCACGTTTTCGCGCTCTCAAAACTTTCCAAATACCGAACTACTGCATGGCAGGCAGGCTCGTTCTGGGGGATTAGAAGTCGCTCACATCCTACCTACAAAACAGTCAGGTAATGTTACAAAGAAAGAGAAGATCAAACCTACTTGGGTGGGTTCTTCACGAAGCTGATACCAGTCTCGATGTTGGTCTTGAGACCTTTGATAGCTTCTTCGAGGTGCTTCTTCTCGTAGTCATTGGCACCACCCAGGATGTCGATGGCCTTTTCTGCGCCGTCGGGCTGTTACAAGTGTCAACATAAAGCAAGGGAGAAGAAAGGGATCGATTAGATGAGGGAAGAGACTTACCCCGAGCTCTACAGGAACGGAGAAATAATCACAGCCAGTTGCCTTTGCAATAGCATCCCCACCAGGGACACCAGGGAGATAGACAAAGGTTGGCTCAACGATCCCTTTTTCGCCCTTTGCAGCCTTGATGAGGGCTTCGGCGAATCTGAAACCGGCATATGCCATAGAAAGAGTGGCGGAACCGGCTCCGTCCTTGGCCTTGACAACCTCGTCACCGCCGAACTGGACACGATTCACTAAAGCATCGAGCTTGTCTGATGGGATGTTGACGGGGGGCTTGGCTTGGCTGAACAGTGGCACAATGGTGTTGCCAGAATGGCCACCAATAACAGGAATAGTCAACTTTCTTGGGTCCTTCTCACCAATGATCTCTCCCACAAAGGTCTGAGCACGGACGACATCCAGAGTGGTGACACCAAAAAGTCTCCTGGGGTCAAAGACGCCAGCTGCTTTCAGGACCTCGGCGGCGATTGGGACGGTGGAGTTGACGGGATTTGAGATGACACAGATGTATGCCTTGGGGCAGTATTTGGCGCAGGCTTCAATGAGGCCTTTGACAATTCCTGCGTTGATCTTGAAGAGGTCGTCCCGAGTCATGCCAGGCTTGCCTGAGAACGATTATCAGTCGCACCAAGCGGCGCACAGTAAACGAAATACATACGAGGAACACCAGCGGGGATGATGACAATGTCTGCACCAGTCAAAGCCGCCTTTTTTGCCTCTTCTGTCTCTGGTTTCTCTCCCTTGAAGTCACCTGGAGCCGCGACATAGCCAGCAATGGACTGTGCATGTTAGACTCGTGGCATTCTGAGATTGGTCAGAAGGATTTCAGCAGACGTACAGCGACAGAGGAAATGTGCGACAGATCGGCTGCGACACCAGGGGTGTTGACCACATCAAACAGGGCGAGCTCGTCGATGACAGGAGAGATCTTGCAGAGGAGAGACAATGGCTGGCAACGAGTTAGACTCGACTCAATCTGCCGTACCCAAGTGAAGGAGAGATCCATACCTGGCCAATGCCGCCAGAGGCACCGAGAACTACAGCTTTGACCATGTTGAGTGTGGGGTGGGGAAAGATTGAACTGTGACGACAGGTTAGGATTCCTGCTTTGTAGAGACTAGAGCGTCGTATTTGCCTGGAAGACACTTGGGGAACTCACTGAGAAGGATGCGTCAAGGTGTCTCGAGGTTAAGGAGACTAGTTTGCAAGAAGATTGAGGACGGGAAGAGTTCAAGAAAAAGTTGGGGCGGTCAGACTTTCATGGGCAGCGAGAGTGACGCGGGACACATGGCGAGGACAAGCGAGGGGAAGCACCTCCTGGCCGCCAAGCCCAAATATCGATCCAGCGGCAACGGACTGGCTTGAAGTGCCCTGAATGCCCCGCGTCAATCCGCAGCTCCGACATTTTCGCGTCTGCGGGCTTTTTTTGCCCTCCAGCGGTGCCCAATGCCTGTCTGGTAGGGAAGTCTCCATCACCTTGAGGGCAAGGCTGTAAACTGGATTCAAAAATAAGTGGCACAGTCTGACTCGGAAAATATCCCTCAAGAGCGCTCAGCAACGTCGAAGAAGCCGCCATATCGAATATGACTGACAGTATATAGGATGAATGACAGACGGCCACTTATCCTAAAGCTAGGCAACATACTTACCATGAATGAAAGGCATCTTCGATCCAACCGTGATTCATTCTACTGTTACTCTTGTCAGACTGTCACTTGTGGTTGAATCCTGCTTTTTCGTCTCAACGAGAATTGCTCGGATCAGGCTGAGACCTGATGTTCTGGTTCGGCCAGGCTCGGTCATTGGCTTCTACGGAGTACCGACGTGTGCAATCATCACTCTCCTCATCAATGATGTTATCCCCCATCGGGTGCATTGCAGTCCCTAGCCTAGGTTTGGGAGGAATAACCCCCGTCCTGCACTGCCAGGACATAGATTCCTCGCCCGTCCCAGATGCCGCATCCCGAAGAAATCTCTCGGGGTGTCCATCTACCCAGCTTGGTCGGATCCTGCCTTCTAGCTGATGAAGCCCTTTCCCCCAAGGCAGAACGTTCAGAAGAAATTGTCAACCGCCCTGCAGGTCTTTATGCCTCTGTCTTTCTCGCCTGGAGCCCGCGAGGCTTCTTCGCCGGAAGATCCTTCTTCGGTCGCTGAGAGTCTCTGATGGCACTGGCACGCGCAACAGCGTCTTTGTTCAAGTCGCCACGATATGATCTCTTGCCAACTGCATCCGCCACGTTCTTGTAAATCCTGTAGTCGGGTCAGCTGTCATCCTTTTTTGCGTCACTGCATATCTGTGCGAGAAACTCACTTCCGGCTGGAGGTGGTCTTGCCATACGCATGGGTGTTGTAGTGCGACGCAGGTTTGTTTGAGGACCCGGACTTCTTGGTCACCAACGTGACTCCGCCCTTCTCGTTGGGCTGGACGGAAACAGCCTTGTCGTTCACGAAGCCGGCATGTTTTCTCGAGTGCTTGTTGACGAGGTTGAAGGGATCTCGGGAGAATTGGACACCACCAGCGGATTTCCTCTTGACCAGGAACGCATTGTTGTTTCCTGCGGTCGATCAGTATAGGCCCCCGGACATGGATTGTTTCGCGTAGTTGAACTTACGGACAACCTCCCAGATGAGGTCTCCGGAGACGTTTGGGCGTTCAGACATGGTGACGGGGAGAGAACTGGTCGCAATTGTCGAGCTTCCGCAGATTGAACGTGCTCGAACTTTTTGGTTGATTTGTATCTGATGAGCAACGGCTTTCTGTGCGCTGGCACGCCATTGGTCGAGGTATTTTCTGGCTTGGCGTTCATTACGGTGAAGTATTGTGCACAGGCGAGAGTCCCGAACATGTCCGACGCCGCCGCAGCAGGCTGACGACAACGAGCCCAGGAGCCCCAAGACCAAGGCCAACGTCAAATGCCTCAGCTTGACCACGAAGCTCCACGCTGAACCTGCCGCGAGCAGCGACATTGCACAAGCCTCATAATGGGCACCAGGCTATGATCATTGCCATACGACGCCTGACACTTGTCTGAGATCTAATTCAATCATTCAGGACCCCGCGTCACATCTGTCCAAGTCGATCTTGGAGACGGAACAGCAGCGCCGTCATGGCATATATCCTCTACTCCGTTCTCTTCTTCTCCATCGCGATCTCAACAGGTATGCTAACCTCCCTTGTCCTGCAAATCCTCCCTTTCGACGAGGCTGACTGATTGATCCCTTGCCGTCTAGTCCTGTACTTCACGCGCAGCCGCTGGACACCATACCTTCCCCCCACTGTGCAAGACCTCCTCTCCCGGCTAAAACCATCCACGTATAGCCGCCTTCCGGCTTCTTTCATGGGCGATGTCGAATCGGGCTTCACCTCCGCGGACTTCGATCTCAGCTCCAACATCATGGAAGGCGACAGCCGAGGCGGACTGGACCAGAAGGCGAAACGAGAGATTCAGAGGTTGATGAAGATCAGAGGCATCAATTTTGATGAAGCCAGAAGGGTGTACATGGAACAACGGTTCAAGAAGCATGGGATTGGAGAGGACGGAATTCCGAAAGACCCCAAGTTCGTCTCGTTCTCGTAATCCAAGTTGAACGACTGGGGCTTTTGCTTTGGGTCGGCGTTGCGTGAGAAGGCTCGGGCTTGACGGGGACAACTGCGCGCAGGTGCCTAATGTATCGGATGTGTTACAGAGATTCAATTTTTTCCTTGCAGATTTGTCTAGAGCCTTGTGACCGGGTATGTTTTTGGGACGCAGGCTCCATATGCGAGATCACCTTCCAATGGGACCTGTTCTATGTTACAACCCTCTGTCGCCTCTGCCTGTTCTATGTTACAACCCTCTGTCGCCTCTGCCTGTTCTATGTTACAACCCTCTGTCGCC